TCATCCACATAATACTCTAGAAAAGCTTTGTGTCATCTCTTTGTGGCTAAACTGGCTGCAGAGTCTCCTACAAGTAATCTAGTGGAAGCAGGAGAGAAGAACAGATGGACTTAGATGAAAGACTAAGGAGATGCTTTGAGAGTGACAGGAAAGCTCTGGAAATAGTTACATTAGTAAACAATCAAATTATTTAACAAAATGGCACCTCCTCAAGCTCTGCTCCAAGTATAATACATGAAACAATTCAGAGGATTGAAGTACCCTTTTCTTTTGTGGAGCTCCACCTTTGTTCTTTCCAGTTGGGGTTGCACTATGGAGACTCCTGGGACAAGTAAAGCAAACATATGTCACATGGGGCAACAGTTCTTCCATTTACCTTCACTGCTATCAGCTATTAGCATCTGATTTGTGAAAAATATATTTTCAAACCCCTAGACTCTGCCAGGTTACATCAGAAGGAACTGAAAGCAATAAGAAACGAGAAGGTAATATTTGGTAAAATACTGGTAAAAGTCCTAAAATTGACACTGTTCAGGAAATGCTGAAAATCCCCTTTGTTTTCTTGGCTTTCATTCCCTTTTTATCCCTTTGAGAACAAGGGAAGTCACCAGTATTGGAACCCCATAAATCACAGTAACTACCCTTTATACACTCCTTATCTGCCCACACAGTTTTATTTCTACTCTTTTATTGTAACTGTGAGAGGAAGGAAAAGTTAATACACTTGGGCAGTCATGGTTTTCACTTGAACTTGTCAATGGTAATATATTTTATAATGTTCTAGTGTCCATGGGTACACTAGATTTTTTAGTATTGCTACTATCATGGCCTTGCTTCAAGACTTCAATGTTAGTGGACGCCAGTTTTTGTGCTCTGCTCTTCATTTTCTCTTGGTCTAATTAATAATGCTGAGTGGGAAGCAGCCAAAGTGGTGCCTCCTGAAGGCTTGCTTCCTCCAGGAGATGGGTTTCGGGCACTACAGATAACCAACTTTGTCATCCCACCTCATGCCCACAGTGATAGAAATTTTAGTGAAATGGTTGTGAAGGGCACACAGACACAAAGTGCATGCTGCACTATTGGCTAGAGTGGTGAACTAGCTCAAGATATTTAAAACATATCTACATCTACACAAGGAGGCAAGAACAGGCTCCAGCCTCTCATGCTCCATGTCCAAGAGTTGAGTTAGTTATAGGTGCCACCAGGAGAAAATGAAATCACGCTGCTTGTAATAAAACCGGAATTGCTTCTGGTTCTTCCTTACCATCTCTGCTGCTGGACCCATGTGAGAGGATCTACAGATACATTAAGGCATAAAGAAGCTGTATGACAATGAACTGGGACTTGACAGTGAGACTGGAGAATACCTGAACATATGCTGGGTCCTTGCTCTCTGATATACCATGGCCAAGCATGAGAGCCCACACAGGGCTCATAGGAGCTCCCTGTGGAGCACTGGCCCCTGCTATGGCCTCTATAAAACTGCAATTGAAATATAAACTTTCACACCACACAGTGCCAGAAGCAAGGGTGAAACTACCACATAAAAGGTGAAGAGGCAACAGAAGAACCTGCAGAAACAAGAGAACAGATTTCTCCACCAGAATAGGAAAGTGAAAAAAATATAGTAGGATCTGTTAAAGTTTTTATGGAAGAGATTCTAATTATTGAGACATTACTGATTTTTGATTAAACCTACTCCCACCTACAAACATATTTATATTGGTGCCCATGGAGCTGATCAATTGCTCAGTTTCTCATTAGCAGAGCTGTCCCTTCAGTCATTAGCTGTATCTTCCTTTACCTCTATCAGTCCTGAGTATTAAAATTACTAGTATTGTAGAATACAGAAAATGAAAAGAATAGATCTGATGTGTAAGACAACATTAATAGATTAGGCAGCAAGAGTTTTATTTATGCTTCTGGAGGTTTTAATGGATAACATAATGTGCTGTTCACAGATCATCCTTCTACTGTGGGTCAGTCTCAGTTAAGAAGGTGATAGACGATAACTCTTCCTATAAAAGCTGCTCCAGTAATAGTGTAATTAATGCAGTTCCCAGTTCAGATAAAACCTACCAGAACAGCTCATACCAACTTTTTCAGTAAATGTAAATAAAGGTTCATACATGTTTCCTGTTAATTTTTGTTTAAATGTCCCTGAACCTTGTCCATTTCTCCTTTGTTTCTTGCATGACCACCTGGGCTCGCATCTTTTGCTTCTATCATTTCAGATCCAGATAAATCCAATGGAAAGAGAGACAGAGGGAGAAAGAAAATTATATAACCAGCAAACACAAAGTAAAAAAGCAAATTACGATTATCAAAGACTTACCATTTTATGTAAGCAGAATGATCATCAAAGGATTTAACTCTGTGCAGTAAACTATATGGGAGTAAGGATGCAGTATGGACTCTCCTCATGTAAATGATGCTTTGTATTGTCTCACATCTTTTCTGTTTGGATCACAGGGAGAATGTTCTATCTTGATGTTAGGGAAGAATTTCCTCTCTTGCTCCTCCTGACTTTTCACTTTGTTATTTAACAAACCCTTCTTTCTTCTTTCAAAATTATATGGATTTGTTGATATCCTCATAAATTATGTATCACTGAAAGTATTTTCCCATGGCATTGCATATTTAAAATCTATTGTGAAACTTTAGGAAGGAAAAGAAATGCAGGAACTATTGGAGTGGAAACATATTTATTACTTTGCAGAATAAATACCACCAACCTAATCTCTGTATATGCCTGTTACATGAGTGATATCTGTGATTGTTTGAAATTCCTTCCACACATTTCGGTATTTCTGTATGTACTGAAGGTGAGAGCCACACATGAGTCTGTTAAGCTCAGAAGATGCACAGGTGGAAAGTGGATAAATGCAGCAAACTACTGGAAATCAGAAGCAGTAATCTTCAAATGGGCTTACTAAAACAGAGCGTGCAGTAGGGATAGAAATAACCCAACCTATAAAGCCTTCATTTGCTCTGTTAATAGGCATTAACATAAAAGTATTATAGGAACTTTTAATTTTTTAAACATTTTAATCATCAATCCTTTAAGTCTTCATATACTTATATGAAGATTTTGTGTAATTTCGTCACATGCTAAAAACTTGCTTCTGTCCATTTTCTTTTCCCAATCATGTATTTACTAGTTTACTATGTTGCTAAAATAGCAGAGTACACTTTCTAGTAATGTTGGGAGACTTTGAATCTATTAACAAGGCACTTCACCTCCTTTTTTTTATTATCTTTTTTAAGGAAGGGAAATCTAGTATGTGAGGCAAGAGTGTACCCTCATTCCATACTTGACAGAAGAATAAAAATGAGAGACCACAGATCTTTTGGTCCCAAGTTTTGTACCTTGACTCTAGACAGCATTTCGCTGCTGAGTCAAAGACATGCAAATTTTGATTGGAAGAAAGCTCAAAACAAGGGTTTTGCCCATCAAAGCATCTGCTTAGCCAATAGCTGCAGCCAGGTTTGCTAACACAGCTGTATTTGTTAATACCAGGGGAAGGACACTGCTTGGGTGATTTCCATGACTATATTCAGCACTAAGGCTCCTCTTAATATTCTGGCCAGAGACCTGAAAGCTGACTGCATACATAAACCTCTGCACCACTCTGGGGCTCCACAGCCTCCAAAGGTAACAACTGATGTCACTTTTTACACTGTCTGTTGCCACAGCAATGGAGGTCGGGGTTTTCATCAGGTGATGCTCAGTGGGCCAGTACCTGTTCTGTGGCTACGTGGTTCTATGGAGCCTCTGACAGCTTTGTCACTGACTTCACTGGCGTCAACATTCCACTCCAAATAAAGATCTAGACCAATGACACTAGATACAGTTTTTTAAGGAAATCTTAGAGCATAAGACTCCTTCCTGTGGCCTCAACTTTTAGTTTAAAGCACTTCAGAAATCTACTTCTGTTGTCAGAAAGTATCATTCTTAACCCTGAGGTAAGGATTTTACTTCAATTTAGGTGCCTGATATCATCTGCCAGCTTTTTATCTTCAAATATCAAGAGTATTTTCATTGCATCTCTTGCACAGGCTATGTGCGTATGATGCTATGCAATGAGGAGAAACAAAATGTGTGATTTTTAAATTACTCTGCTGCTCTTCTATTTTTTAATCTCCAGATGGTCCTTGAGACTGGTGATATCTTCTTTAGGCTACATATTTCCTGCTTCAATTAGCTTACTTAACCAGAACACATCTGAGAGACACATACATGATCAGATAGTATCAGGTGCTAATGTTCAACCGCTTTCATGAAATTTGAAGAAGATAAATGATTGAATCATAATTGAATGACCTTATTAGAAGACAAGCTGATCACTGTTAATATGAAACTTGAGATTCCCATGTTTGCTCTAATTTCACATTGGCTGGGTCTGCTGAAAGGACAGCGAGCACAATGTGTTAGGGAGCAAGATCAGAGCTGGGTGACTGAGATCTGCCATAAATATTTATCAGCTGGCATATTTATCAGAGGGGTTGGCACAATTTGTATCACTACCTAAGAGCAGTGAAGGAAACCAATGCTTTGATTTACCACCTCCCAAGAAAAAAAAATGCAGCATACAGATCTTCATGTGTGTTATTTTGAGAAAAGCCCTATCTCTCTCCATCCTGTCCCTCCACAGCATGTGTGCATGTGAGGAAGGACAGGCGGTCACTAAGGGCATCTGTCCCTTCAGGGGCTTTGTCAGGAAGCATCACGTAGTTACTGCCGAGAGCAGTGGGGATCTGACACATATTTGTATGGATGGGCTGGCTGGAGCAAATCTGGGGCTTGTTCCAAATTCAAAGATTTTTATTGCTTGGTGAAAGATCTGAGCAAGGTTGAGTGAAATTCTCAGAATGCGCACCCTCCGTGTGTGTTTCACCAGATGGATATCGTTAACTGATGAATGGGGATCCTTTGCTTTGGCCTGGCCATAGTGATTTTACTTGGGAGTTAAGATGGAGAGGAGTCATGCAGTACTTACGGGATCCCTTTTTACAAGGCCCGGGTTAGGGACAACAGCAATGAGGTGGGCAATTGTAAACATGGAGTTCAGCACATATGAAAAAAACAAATTCTTATGCAGTGTTATCCTTTGACAGCTGAGGCTCCTGAAAAATATGTAGCACATGTCATAAATTAGTATTTTTCTTCTTATGTCACTTTAACAAGCTCTTTCTGGCAACAGTCTCTCAAGAATGCCTTTTGGCAAGGCATAACTGGAAAATACATGCCTTGCATTGCAACCATAACCTTTGACAAATTTTTGGGTTTGTTTTTACACCTGTTTAGCACCACATGCTTTTCAGACCATGTTGTAAAGGGCTTTCTGGCTACATTCTCAGCCCTTGATGCCTTTCTTTATTTATGGTAATCAAGCTATTAAGCAGTGAAGCAGAACCCTGAGAATTATTAGATGCGCATGATACAAGTAATGAACATCAGAAATACTGCTTTATAAGTAACTGTTCCCTGGAGACCCAATTTCTCAAATACTCAGATGAAGATTATTTTCTACTTCAGGAATTAGTGGTGAGACAGGATGGGAAATTTGGGCAGGAATCTCCTTAAATTACAGGGGGATTTGGGTTGATATCCTGCATGTTTCTAACTCCAGCTGAGATCTCAAACCAGAGGAGGTTGTTTTCCTGCTCAGAAGGAGCAGAAATCTTTTGAAATGACTGATTTTGGGGAGGATAGGATTTATGCTGTTGTGGGTAGCAGAATTTCACAAGAGAAGTTTGCAGAATTCTTGTGAAACCAAGTCATGACTGCAGTTTCAGTCCTGAACCATCTCCCTTTCTAATTCATGCCCAAAAACTCATGTCACCTCCTCAGATACCCCTGAGGCAGAGAAGGTGGCCCCTGCAGTGCTCCATCCCCCAGAGCACAGTGCCAGGCTGACAGAGGGTGATTGCAGAAAGGCAATCACAGAGCTGTTAGATAATGCTGTGATGTCTGTATTCAGTGATCACTGAGAGCAAGCAGGCAAAACTGCTAGGTAAAAACCAGAAGTACTGCTGTCTTGCTAAGGCAAGCTTCCCACTCAGAACTAGGAGTCTTTTGCAGTTTTTTGCCGTCTGGCACGCAACACAGGCTGTGACTTTCTGATTCTCTGCATGTAGCGGTCAATGAAGAATGCACTTTCCTTTAAAACAGAGGGCTAATCTAACCAACTGAACCCTTTTCTGCTTATTTTGCTTGTTTACTTAGTTATTTTCCTTTTTTAACTCCTCATTTACCTGCCACTTATTCTTCATTCTCCTTACACCTATTTTCTGAGTCATTGCATGGAATTTTTCCTTTAGCTTTAGGTCATCTTTCTGGTTATGGTTATGATCATTCTGCAATGTTCACCACGTTTCTTGACCTCCTTATTTACCAAGACATTTTTTTTGGTTCAGGATGTCCATGAGATGCAGGTCCTGGTGGATAGGAATGAGAGTATCTCTTTACACTTGTCCTGATTTTATGACATTCCATTAGCATCAGCTAATGGCAAATGTTGAGCACCAAATATGGGGCCAGGTGCACTTTCAGTTTGGTTCACTGTAGAACAGGATATTGTGCAAAACAGAGTATTCTTTGGAGCTATTTTTTGCTATACTATGTTCTTGTGCTTACTCCACCTGTATTTGCCCCCATCGCAAATCTCATCTGACGTTCCTTTTCTGCTCCTAAGCTCTGGTGAAATTTATTCAGTCCCGAGTCCTTCTCCCCATTCTCCATCACTACACTTTGCCTATGCTACTTAACCCCACTTTTCCTGGGACACTATAACATGGTCATCACTTTCTGCCTTTCTCTGGCAGCCCTGAGAACACGATTGGTGTGACATCAATCCCCTTCCCAAGAAATAAAAATTTCCCTGTTACTGGGAGCAGTTTTTTCAGCTCCTGGCCACAGGCATGCAGATCCTTGTCTCTCCAGCTGCCTTTCTACATGGCTACAGATACAGACAGTCTTTTGTGATTATCTCAGCCAGGTCCATGTGTCTCCACTCCCATTCTTGTCCTTCCTCATTGCTTTGCTTGACTTTTGGCAGTCTTATTTATCTATTAAATTGGACTATCCTTCTCTGCATATTGCCATTGTCTGCTCTCCAACCTCCTTTCCCTGCCTGCCTTCCTCTCTTAGTTTTACTCTTTCCTTCTTTCCTCTCAGTATTCCCTGTCCTTTTTTCTTGATGCCAGCTTTCATGTTAAAGACACATCTGGATTATCAAACGCATGTTTCCATACCCTCACTTTCTAATTTGACCTTCAGTGTTTGCCATCATAATGGCATCAGCACCTGCCTGACTCAGTCCACACCAACAGGAGAACATTGTAGCAAAACCCAAACCCCTACTTCATTCATCCTTTCTGCTGGTTTTGACAATCATCTGCAATCTCCTCCTTCTCTGACCTTTCTTAGTTCTCTTCCTGGCTCTCTTCCTGTTCTTAACCATTCCTTTGCGGTGTTTTTGAAGGCTCCTTGGCACTGCCTCCACCATCTTTCTGTATGTTCCCTACTGTGCTTCATTAATCAGTATGCAAGAAGGCACAACTAAGCCAGTTATCTGTATCTAAAACTTGTGAGTTTTTGTGTCTCTATGCTTCTATTATCTATTGTCTCTTTAGAATTTCAGAGTCTCCTATGTTTTTCATGGCTTCCCTTTGTTTCATATTGATTCTGTCTCCGACATGTCCTTTGACAGAGGTAGGTTCTCTTACCTACTCCCAGTCACCCTTACTTTTGAGTTCCTATCTCCACTTCTCTATTACAGCTAGGATATTTTGACTTTTCTTCATAGAACCGTCCTGTGAATCTTTAATTTCTTCTCATTCATGAATACCGAGAATACCAATTGTCACCCCCAGACACTTATTTTCCATCTTCTAATCCCTTGTTTAGTTTTCAAATTATTTTCATGCTTTGTACCATGTTCTCCCTTACCCCTGAGGAAGTCTCCCAACAAATTTCCACAGATTACCCTTTCACCCATTATCCTTTTCCAACTTCTTTTAAAAGCCTTGGTAACAATTAACTGCAGGTGTATTCATAACATACCATCTATTATTCTGGCAAATCTAAACTTATGTACTCCCCATCTGTCTTTGTACAAATGCCTTTGTTTTATTAATTCAACTGGAAGTGATTTGGAGCTAGGACTCCCTCTTTTCTTTTGTGTTTTATCAAATAACATAATGAGGTCTCAGTTTGCAAGTACAGAAATACTACAATAATGTGATGATACATGTAGCTATTAGACACTCTATTTTATGAATACTCTGTCTCCTGTTATGAGTTAGTATTGCTTAGTGATGCTCATCACTACTGTTTCAGTATTGCCTTCTGAAAGCATTGCAAGCTGTTCATTGCTGCCTCTACAGTCAAAGGTTATTATACAGTCCTGAAATCATCTCTTGCTATCTGATTGACTGTCTGATTGACAGTTTCCCTTCTATTGAAGGTCAAATAATCTACTGCTGTCATAGCCAGATGTTAGAAAACAGCTGAAGGTAACATGAGCCGTGCTCCCATACAGCTTCATTCTCACTTTCTTATGATTGTAGCTTGGTCTCCTCTTTGTCTCTCATTTTGAAGCACTTTGTTTTAATTCCTTTCTCTACTTCTTCCTGTAACCTTTGTGTCATGGATTAGTCATGGAAGGGGAAGGAGAAGTGGAGGAGGAAAGAGAGGAGGAGGTGTGTTACTGTCTGGAAGGCTGCTGCAAAGACTAGTCTTTTCACAAAGCCTGGGACTCATCAGGATCTTGCGTTGTCCATGACTCAGAGCTAAGAGTGAGTCAGACAGGCTGACCCTGCCTCATTTGCCACAAGAAATCACCTTTCTGGTCCATTTAGGGCACCTTATTTGACCAGATCCTGTCTTTACTGTCCCAAAGAACTCATGCCAGGTTATAGGGTTCCAAATCTGATTAAATTGTGCTCTTTCCAGTTTCGTCAAAGCTATGGTTTTGTGCTCTTTATCTACTTAGATGGGAAGGGAATTCATCAGTTCATTGGGCAGAGTTTCTAGCTACCTCTGTATCTGATTAAGGCATGTTATCACAGGTACTCATAAAATTGCCTCTCTGGAAATAACCAGAATTTACAACCTGTATTTTGGATCCACCTATTTTGAGTTTGCAATCTTACAGACTCTTATAGTCTATGAAAAGTCCAACCATTTAATTTTCCCATGTTTCCTAGACTTATTCTTGGTGGTGGTGCTGTTGGGAGCTTGATCTTTTACAACTCTTCCTGTCTGACAGCTGAGGCACAGACATCTAATTGACAGCAGACAGGTTCACCAAAGAACAAGATTTAAATGCTCCAGTGAAACTGCCATGCAGTAGCTGCAATGCTTTCAGTGAGTATCAGTTTAGTCTCTTTTAAAGTTCTGATACAGCACATCACTATTTTTCCTTTTAATGATGATGGCAGGCTGCGCAGTACTGTCAGATTCACTCTTAGGGCTGAGTCCCCTAAGAACCTACTCAGGTCAATAGCTTAGTCCTTCAGTGTCATACAGAGGTATTTCTGTTCTTCAGGAGCTTGGGGCTTCAAGCCACTGCCCTGTGCAGTCACTGCACCTGACAAGGTCTGCACATGCTTTTCAAGGAACAACAGGCAAATGAAAGGCCTTACTCCATCCCCAGTTACACCACTTCCCTGTGGGCTGCTCTTTTACACCAGTCTTGACAAACAAAACAGCATGATCTTGGCTACACAACACTGGGAGATGTCCCATTGGAGAGAGGACCCTGTGCTGAGATTTCTTCACCAGCATTATCTAGAAAGGCACTCAGAAGAGCTGCTTCTCACTGCCATGTCCCCTTCCAAGACTTTCTTTGGTTACCACTTGATATCCCTCAGGAAGGAAGGGTGTCTGCAAGAAACACTTACTTGAAATAGAAGAAAATTGCCAAGGAAACCAACAGGGATGTTATAGACAAAGCATGGCCAACGATCGCCATATAATAAAGTATGAACGCCATCTGCAATTTAACAAAATGAAAAGGCAAACATGAACAATTTGCAGGCACTTGGTGTTTTTTTTCTCACTAAGGAAGAATCTAAAAAATCGATCTCCCATTTTGCATTTTTCTTTCAAGCATTCTTTTTCTATATATTGTTAATGTCAGCAATCTATTAAATGGAATGACACAGTCTAATGGTAAGTGCTTCTTACACGTGTTGATCCGTTCCTGTTACACTGCAGGAACGGGTGAGATCTCTGCTCACACTGTGTGTCACTAACTTTCCAAGCTCTAGGAGACCACAGCAGACATAATACATTCAGATTTCCAATACGCCCAGGACAAGTATTGCAAAAAGAGCTATTAAAGAGAATAGCTTGCTGCAGGATTGGTAGAAAGCTTTTATGGGTTGAAAGCAACTTAAACAAAAGGGATCAAAAGCTTAATGGTCACTTTTTAGAGATGAGTCAGTAGTTAACTGTCCTCAGGACTCCTGTTAGGGCTGGGTTTTTGTTCAACATATTCATCAGTGATCTGATGCAGAGAAACCTCTAAGTTTCCAGGTTTTACTTAGGTCTTCCAGATAACAGTGAGGAACTCAGGGCCTTAATTCCTCTGCTGAGCTTATTTTCTTTTCAGCTCTACTTTATTTGTTTTTCTTTTGCTATGCATGAGCATTTTCCCTCTTTTCAGTGAGTAGAGGAATTGCTTTTAGCAATTCAACCCTAAGTTTTGCTATTCACTTTTTTTTTCTGGTGTTTCCAAGTAATTTTAAACTTTGCCTTGAGAACAAATACAAAAACAATTCAGAAAATTAAGGCATTCCTTTTAGTAAAGGTGCACGTCTTCTTACATAGTTTGGTCTTCAGTCATTTTACAACTTTGGAATAAGCTTCTACTTTCATTGACCTAGGTGGTGGTGGCCTGAGTCAGATTTAAACCAAAGTCACATTTACACTGGTCTGACCACGTAGAAGTGACAGGATCTGAATGTAAATACCATTCACCAAGTTACGGAGAACTATGCATATTAACTGCAAATACCCTAGGTCTCCTAGTTTTTCTTCACAAAGACTAGCCACTACATTTTTAGTGAGTGCAAATGCTTGACAACTTGTTCTGAGAGCACCAGCAATCCCAGAGAGGGCAGACCTGAGTGCAGAGAAGACAACTTTCTGAATACAGAGTAGTGGGAGAGGTTTTTACCTGTGTGCATGTGACATTTCTTCCACTACATACTGTATGGTTGCTGTGTTTTTTCATGACATTAAATGGATATATTCTTAAAGCCTGAATTTAATTTACAGATGACCTGTTCAAAAGTACTGTTTTCCTGCCTATCTTGTATACAACCCTTAGGCTGAAACAGTTAGTAGGAAAGGCCTCCAGATAGCTATGTGCAACTCTGTGTCACCCCAGAGGACTCTTGGTTATTCAGTCTATCTAACCTTCAGCTTACAACTGCTAAATCAACTGTGTATCTGGGACCCAGAATTGCATTTTTGATTACTCCATGTAAACTTACTACGCCAACTGCTTAAAAAAGCTTTCAAAAATAGCAATGATGACAGATCAGAATGGGCTAAACTGTCGGCTAATTTAACATTACATTTTTAAACACTGACCACAATTTTTATTTTTTTTTTTAAATAAGCTGTCTCAAAAGTATAGCATGTTGTTATGTTCAGTTAACTTCAAACAAATAGTGAACTATTTTACTAATTTTGCACTCCTTGAACTAGCAACCTGTCATGTCCCTTTTGACACACAGGACTTATAACATACTGACACACAAAATTTTTAGTTTATTCAGATTTTTCATGCTGTTATTTTTTTGTTCCCATAGAATTCTTCCCTTGAGGCAAGAGAATTCTCAAAGAGTAATACTTTCTATCAAGCTAATTATATTATGTATAGGTATGTGGAAATAGTGTACAAATTAAGTGCACTCCTGTTTTTTGAGGATTTGTATTAAAGGTCATAATCTAACTTGGCATTTCTGTGGAGATAAATTCTTTCTGCATTTTCCATCATTTTTCATTTCAGAAGAATCATGATGTGCGTATAATTTTCCTTTCTGTTCTATGTGCTCTTTGCTTGAATGATGTTCAAAATTGTTCTTCTAGAAGACACGGATAATAGGTAACAGAACTAAATTTTTTGCCTCCTTACATGTGCCAACATCTGGAATATTTTTATGGTGCTTCCATTTAATGCCTCTGTGAGCTCATATCGTTACTATTATTCTTTCCTTGTCACACAGGTGAGCCCCATTTTACCATGATGGTTCCTCATGCTGCAAAAACCTTTAGAATTCATGTCCTGCCTAGTCCAGTAGACTTTTCCAAGGTTCTTTGGATCATTACTAAATATAACTACATACTGCTTTTTGGCTGCATAAAAAAAGGTCCTCCAACACAAATCCCAAATCAAATCATGTCTTGAATCTTTTCCTTCCATGATTCCAAATAATCACAAATTATTCTGTCACAAATCTGTAATCAGATTTTCCTGGAGCTCCACTCATATTTGAGAAATATGTTTATTTTCATGAGCTTCCCTAACTTGATTTTTTTTAAGCTTTTCTCAGATTTCTCTCTCTTTATTTCTTTTGGTTCTCTTATATTTAGTCCTTCTCTTTCAGCTTAGCAACTCAATTTTGGAAATATTGATGCAAATGCTTAATTTCTTATTGTAAATAGTCTATTGACTTCTGTGAAACTGTCAAAGTTAAATGTGTTCACGCTTGTAGGTTTTTCTGGATTAATGGTACCTTCATAAATTTTGAAAGAGAGTGAGTACAGGGTAATATTCTTTGCTGAAGAAAAATAATTTTAACTTACATTAATATTACCAGCCCTGCAGAGAAGACATCAATAGCTTAGAATATTATTGTTACAGAAAGCAAAATTGGGATTCTAAAAGATTATTTTATAACTGTTGGACAATTAGGGAAAATCATGGGAATTAAAAAGCATTTGAAAAATATTGCAAAACTTGTCACATGAATTGCTACTAAATGATGCACCCCATAGCAAACCTATGCTTAGGTTTGAACACTCATAAAAAAAATTTAATAAGCTAAAATCACAAGAACAATGCTATTCAAATCTTGTGCAACAAATAAAGATGAAAGATAGGGCTATTCTGTTCTCTGTCACACGTCTTACTGCTAGCCCAGCCCAAAACCACTGTCAAACAACCACTGTCTCTTTAACTTCATCATACCTTTAGTTTTTCAGAGGTGAAAGAGTTGCACAGGGTGTAATTGGACCAGGTTCGGTTGCTCTCAGGATGGCGGAACCAGTTTCCAGTTTCATCACAGTATTTTGAAGCCCTCTCTGATGAAAAATTGCAATAATAGTTATTTTAATGTATGCATATTACACATTTAAAAATCTATTAAAAGGAATTACTTTATTTGGAAATAACATGTCTGTGTAATGAAATCCAAATGGTTTTCAACCTCTGCAATTAATATACATCTTGATGGTTTGTTATTTTGGTTTTTATTCTGAGATTTATCTGGTGGTACACTTGTTGTTTATCTGTCTCCTTTTGCCTTGAATGAGTATATATCTAAGCCTTCATTCAAATGCAATTATTTACGTGATAATAATCCCTGTAAAGAGGTTGTTGAAAGCTGTGTAGGGAAGAGAAAGTAACCTCAGGCACTGATGTGTGCTGTGTCTGTGTCCTCCCAGCCACGCTCACATTCCTGCTGGGGAAACTCTGGATGCTGAGGCACAGATGTCGTTTGTAATCACCTGTCAAATTTTGGACTGGTTCCTCGAGCCTTCCCTCAAGCACTAGCCAAAAAGGAGTCATTGGAAGGTTTGCCCAAGTAACAAGGGCAGGATAAGATCATAAACTTAAACTATTTTATGTTTTCTTAGATAGTGACACCGACATTTATGAAAAATATGTTTTTCAAGTCTGGCTTTTAAAACAGTCAAAAAAGTCTACCTTGAGTTTCCTTTGCCTACTCTAGCTCTATAATTTCATTGGCTTTATACTTATGTTATCAGTATTTCTAGTCAATACACTTTTACAGAGACAATTACCATTTGAACATACCTATTTTCATTTTTCTGTGGTCAACATTGCCACTTATTTTTCTTCATCTGATGACTAATAGTTCTATTAACTTGGAAGATTCGTATTCCCTCTATACAACCTAAAGAAAGGAACTGATCTTATGGGCAAGGTAAGGATTTTATAGACTGAGCTTACTCTTACTCTGACTAGAAATACACTTTATACAGTGCCATTGCAGAAAAAAAATAAAAGACAATCCTCCAGAACACAGCATATTTTTGAAATTGTTGTTGGTTTCAAATCATTGTTTTGGGGGAATTATTAAAAATCAATATGTGATCAACAATACCAAGAGGAACAGTACATGTTATCTGAGCCTTCCATCGCTGTGGCTTGGAGATAATCTCAGACTGCCTGTGTAGCAACGTTCCCTTTGTACTCTTTGCCAGACACTATCGAAAGCTGGAAAAAGTCTTCAGTCATAGAAAAAAGATTAATGGTTATGTTCCCATGGAACACAGTGTGCAAACATTGCACCTACTATCCCATGCACTCTGCAAAGTGCATGGCTTTTGTTAATATGCTACAGAGTATTTATGGCAATGTCATCCATCATCTCTGTACTTCAGTGCCTAGCTAGGCACTCTGACAGAGTTTAATGCGGCCTTAGAGATAAACCTTTAGTCTCATACTTTTTCTTGAAGTCAGATAAACACAACTGATCTTAGTCTGAAAGCGCCAATCCCCTGCAGATTTCTTGCTCTGATGTCAGAATACAGAACTGGGGGATAAGCTCTCCTTACTGTCCATCCCAGGGACTCAAAGATCTCAAACATCTCTTCTAAATCTATTCTTTTACACAGAAACAAAGCTGCGAGCCTGCAACTCAACCACTATTCTGTTCCAAGTTATTATACAGTGGGTCAGTAGCAGGAGGGTTATTATGAATCTGGGTACGCGTTTGCTTTTTTATGCTAACCAGAAGAATATGGTAAAGTCTGAAGAAATACACATATGCAAGGATGGGTAAGACAACACTAGCAAGATAAAATGGAACCATGGGCTTTAAGATTATTAAAATACTATGTAAAAGCTAATTTTTTAGGTTTTATCTGTACCCTATCAGCTTGGATAGGGCACCACTTGAGCATCACATTACTCAAAGCCAAAGAACAGTGACATTGTGTGGGATTCATCTCACCTGACTTTAGCAACCTAAAAGTTATGTAATTCATAGGCAGTTGTGCAGAATCTATGCCGTCAGCTTAGAAAGAAGACATTTCAGAGCTGTCTGGGAAAAACGGATGAGAGAAATCCTGTCCAAAAGGTCAGTTTCATGGGAGCAATGAAGTGTCTTGAAAGACTAATCAGCAGCAATAATTTTGTGTGTATATTGTTTGTGCCACCAATAGTGCTTTTATGAATCCTATTTTCATAAAAAACCCTCAGTAATTCATATGTAATGAATAGCTTAATAATTCTGGAACCATATGATAGCTCTATCAATTAGGCTTTTTACTTTTACACCAGCTCTATAACTAGCACATAAAACATCAGTTTTTTATTTATTGCTGAGTTATAAGCTGGAAGTAGAACAAAGTTATCCACTGCTGCAGTGCTTGCTCAGCTCATACCAGACATTGGATTCTTTGCCATTTGGATAGACCTGTGCAGTGCTTATTTTTGCAGATGAGGGAATAGTTGATGTAGCACATCTGATTTACTTACATACTCAGTAAAATATTCTGGAAGAAATTTTTTCATAAATAAAAAAATCATCCTTTATAATGCAATGGAGAACCTAGAAAACTTCAATTCCAGTGTCCTAATAAGTGAAGAGTTATCACTATCTTCATAGTGTCTTAGTCAGCAGAACCAGAATCGGTATAAAAGAATCATATTGTGGGGATAAGAATTGATTTTTATAATACAGCTGTCAAACTTACTAAGAAGCAGGACAGAAAGACACAGAAGGAGAAAAAAGCAGCTGGACAAAGAGTTGTTCAGATTTGTCTTACTTATCGTTATCTAAGTAAGATAACGATAGACAAGAAAAGACAAGAAAATATGACCAGCAGAAATCCAGAGCTGTCTATTTTAGTCAGTCATGAAATTTGCATTTTGTGGCACCAAGAGAAGGGCTCTCCCAGTGTCAGAGCAGGAAGGCAAGGCTGTACTTCCATCTTCCTCGATTGTGAGAGGTAACAACATATTAATCATCAACTGAGTAATTGCTTATGGATACATATGGGCCTGTTTCCAAATTACACTTCTAGAAACTCTGCTCCTGGAGCTTCATGAAGAGTCATGAGTAACAGTTTACAAAAGAGAACTAAAGACAGAAACCCAAATGAGTGGAGAACTGAGGGGAATTTTGCTAAATGCAGCTTCCTCTCACAAAGGCTACTGCTCTTAAGCGCTGCTCTTTGCCAAAGAATAAAGGGAATGAAAATGAAACGAAAAGGTATATGTGCCACACCAAAACTTGCACATTCAGCTCCATCGGTATGTGACTGCACCAAACTAATCCTAACTAAATGCACTGTATAAGGACAGAGAGGTGGGCAATATAACACTCCCCTGCCACAAACCCAACAGCCCACATATGACACAGGACAATGCTCAGCTCCTCCTGTTGCCCCTGGCAAACCTGTCTTGCTAGAAGGCCATTATATCCACAATATATTTTCCTTTTTTCCATCAGTAAGAATACTGGCAGCATGAATTACATACTACATTCCCATAAAACTCAACTCTTACCAATTTCAGTGTGACCTGGAACCATTTCAGAGGGATTACACCAAAGATTAACCTGTCTAAAATATGAATATAAAATACAATTCAAGAGGAACTGCGCATGTTGCCTGAATAGGGGCATATGAAACATCCCTGTTCAGAGCTTCACAGCCAGGAGTGGACTAGACAATGAATTTCCTGCTGTCACTGGCATGAAAGCAGTAGGTCTTGTTATGTTTTCCAGACAAATTGATTTGTTTTCATGCATTGTCACATTGTGCATGATGTTCACTGCGAGAAGGAGATTGCTTCTTTCAGAACACAGATTCCTATCCAGTAAGAACAGATCTAAATTCAGTGTAATAAGTGCAGTAGCTAACTGTGAAGTTGTCAGATAAAAAATGAAGAGACCACTGAGATTGTTCCCCTTTGTTTTGTTTCTGTGTTCTTTTCTTCAGAATATGATTTCACCTTGTTTACTTTCTAACATACTCTAGTGATTTCCTCTTGGCATCAACGCTGAATATTGTTGGGGATCAAATATAGAGAGTTGGTATATGGGATGCACAGATGCAGACGGGAGGAGGATTCATTACTATGCTGCCGGTAATGTTTCACTTTTCCAATTACAAATGACATAAGTATCAAAAGAGAAAAATGTATCTGAAAGACATCATTTTATTCCAGGACTCGAAGCTATCCATGGCCTCTAATGAAGTGACTTAGCCATCAATATGCTAATATGCAGTGGTTCTGCAGGTCTTGGTGCTGGCCAAAGCAGCACAGTATTAAATACTTGTTTCAGAAATCCATGGGGTTACTTACATGCCTAAAATATATGCTGAGGTGGTTGCATATCAGAACCTCAATGGGGAGGAAATCTGACAGTCACTACAGTTTTCATCGTGGGAAAATGTTATTCTTCAGGATGAATTTTCTGTTTCTCGGTGGAAAATTCAACTGCATTTTCTTTAACAGGAATAAGTTACCAAAGGAAATAATGACTTGTGACACGAAATCTGACAGACTTCTCAGGACAGATCAGTCTGTGCTTCTGGCCACCTGTATGTGGCAGCCACTTCTATTAGCAGTTGATAGACTTGTAGACACCCCCCTGATTTCTGACTTCCCTGAGTCTCCCTCCTACTTTATCAAGTCCCCATGTGACAACTAGCCACCTGTAAAGCAAAGGCTGACTACCCACTGGTTTGATGCCATAGCTGTAACACATGCTGGGTTACTCAACAGTTATTCTAGGAAAGTAGCTCTAGCTCAACCAGGAGATGCTGGGCTGCTGCCAAGCCAGGGAAACAGGGTTGACTGACCAGGATGCATCCACTTGACTGACCAGGATCCAGGGAAAAAGGATGACAGAGGTGCTGAAAAGGAGAAAAGAGATGTACCAGAGGAAAATACTGGGTCCAGAAGACCACAGGTAATGTTCTTTAAGAGGACAGCAGAGAGAACAGTAGGAAATTAATTACTGGAGGAGGCTTTTCTTCCTATGGGTCTGTACAGAGTACAGGAATACTAAAAAATTCCTAAATCTCAACTTTTAAAGCATGCCAGAATGAGTAACTGCAGTACATACACACTGTGGGCCAAACTCTGTGACAGGCATCTGCACATTAAGGAGTGATTTGCAATCAGTTGTATGAGCCACAGGCCTTGGCGTTAATGAGCATTAGTAAGTGGAGTGAGATCCTTCTCCATGGATGGCTTCAAGTGTTACTTTGAAGAGTGCTGTTGTAGTGGAGCAATTAGTTCAGAACAAGTCATTGGAGACAGACAAGTAGAAAAGCTGAGAATAGGTGGCTTGGGAATGAGCAGGAGAGTTGCTCTGTAATCATCCCCATCCATGAGGGATGAGGACCCTGAATAGCTGGGGAAATCTGTGATCACAGGGCTGCCCAACACCCATCTTTGCACGTATAAGCTGAGCATTGCATGGAGTATACCTATTGGTGACTGTTAGTGCCACGTTTTGTTTTTTTTTTCTTCTATAAAACCCATAGAAGCAGAGAAAGCAGAAGCCTTGTAGTAAATATTTCTATTCATAAAAGGGGCTGTTGCCTTATGGGAGGATACCATAAATAAAATGGGGGCTGAAGCAGAAGGTAGAGACCCCATCCAAGAGGCACCTCTAACATGCATGTACGAAGAGGCTTGTGCAACCTCAGGATCCAGAGCCTCAAGCTCTCTTCTAAACATGGGCACTTCTGTCTGGGAACTGAACCAGGTTTGGTCAATTCTTTTAAAATGCTCTTTTGGAATGCTTTGAGAAAATACTGTAATGGTTGAAGCTCTCGTCCACAGAGAGGGAGACCTAAGCAAAAGTCAGTTCTCCAGCTGAGGGTCTCAGCTCCTCAGTGTCCCCAAGGTGCTCCAATGATAAGCCATGAGCATGACCCTCCTGCAAGACTCCTCTTTAAAAACTATGACACTGTACAGAAAAGAGGTCAAGACTTCTGTGTCAGAAAGCAAAAAAAGGGCACAAAAGAGGAGACCCTGCCACATGAGCTCACTTTCCAGGCACAGAAATCCTGAGCACACAGACTTCCTTCAATCTATCCTGTCCAAGGCCTAATTCCACTGGAAAGAGGGACATTCCTCCACCAAAGATGGAATGTAGTTTTGAACTCCCTCAGACTGGGTCTGACGCTAGAAGTGTCCCACTTGCTGTGTGAATTCTCTAATCATGGACAGCTTCATTTATGAAGAACAGTAACGCAGATCAATCTGGTTGGTACTGCAAATGGGCTTCAGCCAAATGCATACCGGGTTCGATCCAACACGGAAACTACTCTGTTTTCTAAACAGGCAATATGCTCGAGAAGATCAACAGTTTTTGCTAATGGTACTTGGTAATTAACTCACAGAGATGCGATGGTCTGTTTCCTTCATCTCCAGTTGGGCACATACATTTTGGCTTAAGTTTGTTGAAAATTTTTAGATTTATATGCCCTCCTTCCCAAATGTTTAATTTCATAGATTTTAACTGCAATTGGTGCACTGTGACTATGTGGAATTTAGCACACCGTGGCATCAAGCACCACCTATAAGCAACATGTCCTGAGCATGGAACACACAACTCTCTTCAAACTGGAGTTAAATTTGTGTCTAATATTTCCTCGTATCTATTTTGCAATATTCCTGTCCTTGATTTTCCCTTTCATTTTCCTTTTAAAATTTTTTGAATTACTTCTTTCAGTCTGACAACTAGTATTCGTATGAAGAATTCAATTATTAACTGAAACTCAGAGACTGAAAGAATGTTATTCTGCTTATCTTCTATAAAATGATACTTTCCAATAAAAATTGAACAAAGAACATGCTGACACATATTTCACACAAATAAGCATTTTCTCTTCATTATAAAAACTTAGAATGAGGTGCTAAGAATATTTTGATATTATAACTCAGAAGTTGACATTTTCATAAACTAGGTTTCATAAATCCATGGTTTATATTATATTTACATAAATACATATAAAATATTTTACAAATGAAAATATATAAATTAGGTAACCCAAAACCTTGATATGTTTTAATTTCAACCAAAATACCCTAAGATTTCACAGTGCTGCAAAAACCTCACTGCAAACATGCATCCTCTCGATGGTATGAATATTTTGAAGACATCCTTCAAAAGATAAAATGATAAAAAGAAATACTGTACCGGTTGGATCAAAGTCTGGAAAATAATCTGGACAATTCTGAGCAGTGATCCTTCCAGCAGGTGTATCATCCCAGCACAACCAGCCATCCCATGTTCGGTTGCAGAACAGACCTGGACATTTAAGAGGGTTTCAGGAGTTAATTCAACACACGGTCACTCCTGAACAGCCTCTCGAGGAATATTGCTGCCTGCAGACAATCAGGTTTTCTTTTTGTAATAAATTCCTTTATTATTGTTACACTTAGAGTGGCATTCAGAGGCTACAAGGAACTTGTTTTTACTGACCTGATGTTAGTTGTGTTCATTTTACTGGCAAGTTATGTTTTAAATCCTGTTGAATTGAGCTTTGAATGTAGCTTTTGATCCTAAAAATTTGTCTTCTTGATCCTCCTTCTGTCCCCAGCTGTAAGCACCTACACTAGTGGTAACCAAAGACCTATTAGGCACTCACTTTTCATTTCACCTTCTGCTGTTCAGTAGGTCTGAAAATCGGGTCTTTGAAAGGTAAAGGTAAGGAAGAGTTCGTGGGGACATCCCACTAAAAGCAACATTTGCAGAGACAGGTCCCTGTAAGGCTGTTGCCTTTTTCAGCACCAGAGATCAGTACCTACATGTCCAGTGAAGCAGATGCAAGACTGATCTGTAACAGACTGATCTGCCTGCTGATGTTGCCTAGGTAGGTGTGCTGTGATCCTGTCCTCATCATGCATCTTCTGGGAAGGTAGTGCGGTCGAGGCTGTGTCGCTTACAAGGGATACTTCCACCCCCACCCTCCCAAAGTGAGGGAGGCAGAACACAGCTCATTCTTGATCCCCAACAGAGATGATACCTACTATGGTCCTCAGAAACTGTGCTGTAAGACTGCTTGCTGTAATGTATAACATGACTCATTGTGGACTTATAAAAGAAACGTATTAAAAAAATCCCTACACTTCTTAGTTATTTTCAATTTAAAATCAGTTTGTGATGTGGGAAAAGGTATTTATCATCATGACCATCAGGTTAAAGGGAAATAGAATGAGAAGGTACATCTTGGCTTTTTTGCTCTGGTCCTGAGGAAGTGTCAGAATGGCTGCTATGACCATGTATGTTGATTTTTGAAGAATTATTTAGACGGTACCTCTGAGAGTTAATAAAATATGGATAGCTAATTGGTTCTGGTGCTTTAGAAACTATCCATAGATAAGCTTTCTTACTAAAGCAAAAAGGCTGTAAAAAGTAATCTGAATTGTTCAAATTTGCACCAATAAATGTTTATAAGTCAAAATAGCTGTGGACTAAAAATTGAAAGCATAAATAATTCTAAATTAATATTTTCCAGATTAGATGTTGTTCAGAAAAGACATTTTTATACATACTTTTACCTAATTTTCTAAGATTTTATGCATGTTTCTATTATCAAGTTAAATATGCTAATGCTATTTTTCACTTAAATAACCAATCATGATATCAACACCTGGTTATCTTTCCTTCAGGTACTGTCATGTTTTTCTATAGCTTTGAAATGTATCTGAAAGACTTTGAGGAGTATTTTTGTAATAATGAAGAAAAACAAGAGTAAAAACTGTTTGCAACTTGAGCTTGTATTTGAAAGACAGTGTTGAAAGGGGTTGGAGGGAATTTCTATCTTTAAATCCTCTGCCTTGCCTGATAAATAAAAAAAATAGCACATGTCAATCTATACACTGTGGACTGTGTCTTTCAGGGTAACTAACAGGATATATATGTATACATACATATATATATATGGATATATGTATACATATATATGTATATATACATATACACACCCCCCATATATATACACCGTGTATGTGTATATATATATATGTATATATGTATATATGTATATATGTATATATGTATATATGTATATATGTGTGTGTATATATATATATATATATATATACACACATGGTGCTGTCCTGGAGGGGTGGTCAGGTGTTTCCATGTGCCTGAGCCCCTCGTTTTATTATTTTTTCAGCTAAAATACAACTTTAGTAGTGCTGGCATCATTCTTTCATCACCCATTATCTTCATTTTGGGGTTATAAATGAATTAAGTGCATGTTGCTATGAACATAACAGTCCCTAATGGCATCAATTAAAATCTAGCTGCCAGTTGAAGGAATGCAGGAACTGCCACTGCTGTCCTCCTGGGACAATGCTGCCCTTGAGAACACTACTAGGAATTCATGTCATCACATGAAATCCCAACTCATGCTGGAAAAACAGCCTTTGTAACTAATCACACAAACAAGGTGCAGAAGAAATGGAAATCCAGTGGAACCATCAATGGATGCAAAAATTACTTGTTTACAGAGATGGAGACTAAAAGAGTAATCTGAGAAGACGACGGCAAGTTATTTCCACTGTAAGTCCAGCAACAAAAAGGCTTGTTTAAGTCTGAAACATGCTTTATATTCCATAACCCTATATAACTACTTGTGGGTTTTCCCCATCATCAGCCTGAATTAAAACCTATTTTTAGCAAAGTCAATCTCTATATTCATTCCCAAACATTTCTACATCAAGACTTGAGTATCTTAACATCTAACTGTTGTTTGAGTCTTACAGAGCTCAGTAAAACCTTTGTGATAAAGAGCTATAGAAATGTCTTTGTTCTTGTATTACACAAAGGCCCACTTTGTCTCCAATCCATGTATTAGGTTGGGTGTTTTTATTAGTGTTTTTTTTTTCATGTGTTTTCTCTTTAAACTATGTCCTCAATATCTCTGTTCTTTACTTGCATGAGTCTTCACAACTCCTCTGTTATTTTTTTCTCTAGCCTCCTCATATCTTCTATATCTTCTATAAGAAAAAGTGACCAGAACACTGAGTCCCAAACAGAATTCCTGCTTTATACTATGTAACTGTAGCACCACTGTTTTTTGTCATTTCTCTTTTTATCACTCTTCACATATGCCTCATATTTAGTAAAGATGAGTGCTCAGTGCCTTATAAACCTATTTTTGCTAGTGTTACTGTTGAATATGGAATGTCTGGAACTTCTGTGTTGGTACAGAGCATGACAACCAGCAGACAATACACAAATGACAAAAAATTGAAACAGAGAGTAAAGCAAACAGAACAACATTTATATTTAAGAGATTCTCCATTCACAATCAGGTCTTTGTGTGAGCTTGCTGAGAGGTTCTGGAGAATGCCATTCTCTAAGCAAGAACAAGAGACATTCAAGCAGCAAAGCAATGAGCAAGAAACGTGGATAATGGAGGAAGGAAGTATTGTTCATTCCCTGGGCTCCTTCCAGGCTTTTTTATCTCTTTGCACTTAGGAGGATGTAAATGTGACTTTGATTACTGTTTGTGGGAAGGAAAGTGCACCCTGAGGAAGAGTATGGGTTAGCATACAGAAGAAAACGTTTCTTTATAGTTCTATAACCAAGCATGGCAAAATACAGACAGATTTTTTTATAAAATCCTTTTTACCTTTTTTCTTGTATGGAGGAGCTCTGTTCATCCTCTCATAGCATTTGAACTGTGAATCTATTATCTTCTGTCGTATGACTGAATTTTCTGTTACTACAGGCTCTAATGTAGGATCAGTATAATTTACAGTAGAAGAAAGACTTGGAACAATTCTCTGTACAGAAAGGAAAAACTGTTAGTACAACTGAGTAAAACAGGAGGATAAAATTAAAAAAAAAAAAAGGGGACCAGAAATATATTTTGCATTCTTCAAAGGCCTTTTATTTGCACCTGTTTAGTATTATGATGGGCCTTGTACTGCTTGCAAAGTAAATGCTGAATTTTATTAGTTTACCTCATTAAAACCACAAGATTTTAACCAAGCCCTTTTTCTTGGCAAAGAGAGGACCATTAAATACTTGATAAAGTCTTCAAAATTTTTTAATTCAGTTTAGTATCTGCGAAAGAATTTTGTATCTTCCAAAAATTACACCCATGTATTTCTGCTCACTTGTGCCCATTTTTTTCCTGACTGCAGACAAAGTACCTCAGTGCCACAGCCTGGGAGCTGATTATTGCATGTTTTATGCCACCTGCTTTGAACTTCTTCAACTGCTAAGATCATAAAAACAATGGGTAGAGAGTTTAAACCTCAATATCTGGCCTTAGTTCCTAGTTAAGTACCTAAATTTGAGTCCCTACATTTGAGTCTGAATAACTGGGTCCTCTTCAATCTAGTGGCATCTTCTGAATTCTCCCATTCTGAACCACCTGCAGTTTAAAGGGAAGGATCATTGCCTCTGGAAGGCAAAGTCAGTCATGGTTTTTTGCCATCCCTCCATGTGTCAGTTGTACAACTCAGGTCTGTGAGTGGAAATGAGAGTGTGGAGCTTCAGTTAGTTCCGTTCTGCCTCAATCCTATATCAGGAAACTTCTCTGCATGAAGGTGACAGGCAAAGTTAGTTCCTCTGCTTCCCCAAGAAACAGAACATTGCTGTGGCACTTTCCTTGCATGACCCTCTATCTTCCCCTATACTAAACAGTACTAAAGCCATCACAAACACATACAGACTCAAAATCTAGGACTGTCATAAATATGCAAACTTTACCATTTTAGCAGCAAATGCCAGTACACAGATCTTTAAGCAAGCACTTGTAGATGTGCAAATTGAAAACATAACAGGTTTGAAAATTCAAATATCAGCTTACTTCTTACACTTTTCCTCCCCTTTTTTTAATTGCACACCACAGGCAACTGTATTGCATAAATAGATTACCTTTTTTCCCCATTTGCACACTAAAACATCTTGGTAAAATAAACAGTGAAACCACAGTGTTTGACTTGGTTGGAAAAAAAAAAGCCATTACTTTTATCCTGATACAAACCATGTCAGGATATATACTCGTATATCTAATTAATTATATTTTCTTAATTTAATCTAATCTCTTTTGACACAAACATTTTCATTTTCAACTGTATACAGCTGCTAGCTGGAAAACCTGGAGGCAGTTAATCTTGTTGCACTTAAACAGGTGCTTGAAATAAAATAGGAGAAATAAAAAGGAAGATATTTTCTGGCAGAAATAAATTTTATGTGTATGTATACCCCCCAAACAAATATATACTTGGACAATGAAGCCATTTGGAACATTTCACCTGGCCATCCAAGTGAAAAATTAAGTATCTAGAAAGCCAGAACAGGAAATACAGAAGTGAAGCGAAACATCACAGATCCCTTACTTATAAAAAGATTAAAGTGAGTAGCTGGGGTTCATGAGAATCATTTTAAAAACCAACCAAGCAATATCCTGAATCCAGCATGTAGTGTAGGAAAGTGCAGATGAGGTTCTTCGGACACCCTCATTTTTATCTTAGCCCTTCACGTCCATGTACCGTCACAGGCTCTGGTGCTTTCTTGAAGTGATTAATAGATACTCCATGCTAATTTTCCCCATTTTTATTTTGAATAATACCTCAGTTCCAAGCTGTTTATATTAAAGAGAGGAATATCAGTATCATCAAAGAAAGCTAGGAGGACTTCTGTGGCATTGCCTCTGTTCTTGACAATTTCTCTGTTCCTCTGCGCCAGTTTGGGAACACAGTTATGTGTGGGGTGATAATTCTGGGGGGGTAAGACACAATTCAGACACCAAAGACTGCCTACTCTTAAAGGTCAATTTAAGAGACTTGTTGTGTAGAATTCCTGATGAAGTCAGCTCTTATTGGGTACAGTTTAATGCAAATATTTTGATACTTGAAGGCAAAGAGTACCTGTGGTGGTGGATAGACTAAATGTCTTGGATTGTGTACAGAATTATTTAAAAGTGCTCAACCATGTAACCAGGAGGCCCATTCTACTGCCTCTGTGCAAGGCAATCATGGTCCAGGTGAAATTGCCAGTAAAATTTCTACTGCCTACATTTAGGACAGGAATTCACTCAGAAAGATTAAAAATATGGATGACATTGTGTCACTAAAGCTCAATGGGACTTACTTCATCAGTGGAAATCACTTAATGGCCTACAGAAAAACTGAAGCTTGGATAAAAATATGAATAATAACATTAAATTTACAGATTTTCAAAGTTAATTGTCCAAATATCTTTCCTGGCACTTTTTATGAAATTGAATAGCTTGTGTGGGAAATCAAATTAAGGGGTCATACATAGGTATGTCACTGGTATTGTTCATCTGCAATATGCCCTTTAAATGTGCTCTTCCCATTGATTGCTTCTCCTCATTTCTGTTTGCCTAGAGCTGGCCTTGGAAGCTTGAACACCATTTTTTTCTACCTTAAGATCAGATTTCCATTTCAGCAGATTAATGAAATATTATTTCGGTGTTTTGTTGGAGGTTGAGAAGCCACATCCCTGTTTGAAATGCTACTTTTTCTACCATGTGTAAGAGACACCACTCTAGGACCCAGAGCCTAAAGCCTGACCTCTTAAAGTCAGTTCAGTGGGCTGATGATCCAGCCTTATATTCCTGCAGTTAAGTCAGACAAAAATCTTGCTACAGTTTGTCATGTGAGATGCTGTTATTTGTTTTAGTCTTCCTGCACTCCTTATCATAGGGGTCAGAAAAGGGCAAATGGGTCAGAAAGACATCTCTGGGTCATTATTCTCTTATCAGAAGTAGCAGGATTTTGGGCATGATTACATGGGAGGGAAAGCTTAGTGTGTACCATGTTATTGGGAGAGGCTGGGAGAGTACCATGAATCTGTGTGTCTATGTTTGTATCTGCTCTCAGGGAATTAATGATTGGAATCACCTCTGCTACTATATTTTAATTGTTATATCTATGCATTTTAGGAATTAAGATTTAAAATGCACGTTTTCACCATAAAAAAGCCAAGAGTAAGTAATTTTGACTTGGTAACTACCTACAGCATTGAACAGATTTTGAATGTTCAGAGTCCATTACTGCATATTAAAAAGCTTTCCCATCCATCTGTCCATCCATCCATCCATCCATCCATCCATCCATCCATCCATCCATCCATCCATCCTCCGTTATTTTAGGTGGAAATATAAACGATGTTGATACAGTAAAGGAATGCCTCATTCATTTATAAATATTCTTTATTAAAGAGAAACAAATAATTCACAACTTAATAACTGATGTGCTCATTGCCTGAAAATGATTGGTATCATTTCTTCAGAAGAAAATTGTTTAAGTGATGTCCCATGCAGCAGTTTAGCAGCCGTACATATGATGTCACTCCTAAAAGTCCAAGTAAATGACGTCATACATACGACCACCAAGCCACCACGTGACAAATGACTGTTATAAGAAAACAAATTATCATTACAAGGAGAAAAAACAAGATTCTGATAATGCTGAAGTTCCCTTTATACCTAGAATTAATAAAAGAATCTAGAGAAAGCAACTTGGCTTCATTATTAAATTATACAGGAACGAACAGATAGTGTCCTTGTTTCTGTAAGACAGACAACTGCTATTAACCTCTGCAACACTGTGCCCATTTCTGCAAGGGAGAATCCAGATAAAGCAAGCATAAAATTCCTTCACTTTTTTCCCCACAAAATATTGCATATGATGAACAAGTAACCCCAAATATTTTTCTTCTGCCATCAAGGAGCTTGCAGGACACTAACTGTAACAATACATGACATTTAGGAAAAGAAGATATTTGTAGTTTTCTTTACTTTTGCTTTTTTTCTCCTTCCACTAAACACAGTAATTTAGTAACATTTGTTGTTGAGTTCAGTCAAAATATAGCTCAAATTCTGTATGCTCCAACTGTCTGATATTGATTTCAATAACTCAAATGTACAATTCTTTTAGAACTGCTATGTGTAGTCACCACTTTGTGGATCACTAAGCTCCTGTTCTTCACTACATCACATCTTCGAGAGAGACCTCGGCATGATTTAGACTAGTGGCAGAGCCTCTCTCATACTTTGACAATGTTTGAACTACTCTTCACAGCTGCTAGTGTAAGGACAGAGAAGAAAACAACTGTGATGCCTTAGGAAAGTCATTAGTGTATGGCACTCAGTAAATACAATAATTTCTATCCATCACAAATGTGCTAGGAAACAGCAGACAATTTCTTTGGGGAAATACCACAACATGACTTGCTTTACTTAACCACTGAATGTTAAAATTTTCTCGTACTCTACTATGTTGGAGCAGGATGGTAATTATCTCGGTGGCACCCTATACAACTAACACGGCGGATTTTGGCAGCTGTTTAAACAAGCACAAGATTAGCAGTCACAGTAAATGAAGATAAGGCAGTTGTAATGAAAAGCAACTCACAAATCTTACAGTCCTTTGCCATTGCTGCAGGATTTGCTCACATGAGGAAGTTTTACTTGCAGTTTATCCCGATGCAAGCTGTGGGCTTACAGAAAGGCTGCAGAATGTTTAATAGATTTTTGCTTGCAGCCCTGATTATCATCTTGCAAGAGGCCTCTTTAGGGCAATCAGCTGCATAGCAACAGCCTTATTTTTTAAATAAGCAAAGATGTAGTCAAAATTTCCTGATCACCCCTGAAACTGGTTGCATAGAGCAGAATACAGCATTCCTTTCTCAGGAAACTGAGCAGCTTGAGTCTCAAATTCTCACACTAATTCTCATCACCTTAAAATACCAGCAGATTGCTTTCCAGAGTTTACAAGGAAAGCTTCAGAACTTGCCAGTGTACTTATAGTTTGAAGCAACCCATGTTACACAGGGAAATACTAACTCACATCAACAGCTTCCAAAGGCATGGTCTCAGGTGATAAGACCCAGGAGGATCTCATCATCCAAGGATGGGGAAGCCCCTGGGCTCCCAGTGGTGCCAGACAGCAAGCAAGTTCTGATGAAGGAAGATGAAGGAGGCTGTGACAGATCATCATCAGCTCTTCTGGCTCACTGGAGGGTAGGACCTGCTCTGGACCAGATGCTGGAAGAGTTGCTGTCTAAGCAGGAAAAGGCTTGTTCTTACAGTACCTGCACAGAAACGGGTTTTAGAGAGTGGTGGTGAGAGCTGTGGAGCTGGGCAAGAGCCAGGAGGCCAGGGAAGCACATGGCCCCACCACCCCATGTCAGGATCAAACGTGTGGCAAGTGCTTCACTAATGGGTTCTGGAGATTTGAATTTACCATGCCACAACTGTATTCCAAAAAACACCAATTTGTGCAGTTACTGAAAATTACATTTAGGTTTTCATATAATTAATTTTCAATGTTTTGTGAATGGGAATTATTGCCAAGACTTAACAGGAGTTGGCAAGAAGCACCTGACTCTGTATAGCTTTGTGACTGAGGCTTGGAAACAATTTGACAGATTCGGACCTAATTAACTTGCGCAATTTGTTTTTTACTCAAAATGAATTTATTTTAAAATACAATCTTGGTCTAATTGACCTAATTGAAAATAGTGTGTCCTTCAGCTGCAGCATCCATTTAGTCCTTACTGTGCACTTTGTGGATGGCTCCAGACACAAAATCAGAATATGTGAGAAAATTTTCTCCACCAATCCTCATTTCCAGAGTAAGAACAAACTATCATTTGTAGGCACTAAATGACAGTTCTTATTTGACAAAATAATGAAGAGAATACAAATCTCTTCCCTCAATGTCCTGCAAAATTGATTGGTCACACTGGAAAGAGACCCAAACCTGCTTCGTCTTCCTCATTCTCTGCAGTTTGATGCTGCTGGGCACACTGTGTTGATGCTCCATCTTTCTTGTGAAGAGAAATGTGCATTGAGGAGATCAACTAATTGCTCCAGCACAGAGGGGCTCATGTGTTTAAGGAAATAAATCTCAGTCACATTCTGTGGCTTTCAATAATTGCCAAAAACTAGAGAGCAACAGGCATAAAGTGAACTAAGACATAATGAACAGTTAAATTTTCTAATGATATTCCCTTGGAAGCGTAGAGAACTATCTGGTGATGCATTATCCTGCATCCAAAAGCAAGGGAATCCATCATAGAGGAAGATAATAGTTAGTTCTATTTCTAAATTAGATTTTGGAACAACTGTTGCTTCAGTTTTTGTTTGGCAAAAGCGAATCATTATAGACCTGTACACAGAAGTTCTATTTATTCTACACAAAAAATGACATACATAAGAGAGATGGTTTGTATCAGAAGGTACCAAAACCCCACGGTGACAAGTCTAAAGGAGATGGTGGGGAGGGGGTGTCTGTGCACATCAAGTAACTAAGGTCTATGACAAAACATTCAAGGAGAGATATGAGAAGAATCCAAGGAAGTCTTCTGCAAAGCACTAACACTGTACATAGGACACGGAGTGCTCCAACACTAAGAGTGTATTAGAGAATCACAGCTACCCTAAGAAAGGAGATTTCAGGTAAAAGTATGCTCTACTCAATAGTGGTGATCACTGCAGGTGGACAAATGGCACAGAGAGACTGGAGCCCAGAGGAGAAACACAAGGACCCCAGCAGGTTGTGTTGCTTTGCAACAGCTTGCAGTGACCAACTGGGAGTGCAGGACACAGATGAGAAGATGAATGAAAACCATCAAAGCCATCAAATAATAAAGATCTGGAGGATGGTTTGTGGGGTGAGTAGAGAACAGGGGTGGAAGTTCAACCCTATGTCAAAAAATCAGTTTAATTATTATGTCTTCCTCAATCTCAGACAGCAGCTGACATGTCTCACAGGTCTTGGAACCAAGGAGTGAATAGAAGAACCAACGAAGTGGGAACAGTCTCTATGGAAGAGAAAGACACTCTTCATTCATTACAGACTACAAACAAAATGTAGAAAATGAATGTTTCCTATCAGCTACAGGTGGGGAAATCTTCGGGAAAATGACTGGTGGCAAATACTTTTCATATTTGATCTATCTAACAGCAGTGTTCTGGTAAGTGTCATCAAGGAAACAGAGCTTGTTCATTGTCTATTTCTATGACCGTGACTTCTCCCCTATCAAAAAGTAAATTAATCTAAGAGGTATTGAAGTAAGCCATAGCATGCCCACTGCAGTGGGAAAAGAAGGCACATTGAGATTGGAAGAGTGAAAATGAAGGAAACTTGTGCTTAAGTTATCCATTGAGGTCAGAAGCTGAAGAGCCCTCTGGTGCAAAGATATTTAAAAAAAGGGGGATGCAGATCTCACTGAAGAATTTTTTAAAGAAATCCTAGCCCAGGAGTACTGCAGGAATGCGCACAGAACTAACGTTGCATAAGTGCTACATGGGTGAGAGATTTAAAAGATTTGAGGACAACACAGCAAGGATTAGCCCAGTTCTTCTGGGTTGACCTACAAATCCATGCTGTAGGTTAAAGCACCTCAGGCGCTCAGAAATGCTGTTGGCAATTTTAATTATCAGAATATTTACAGTCCTGTCACTTGACTGGGAAGAAATATAAACTCGAACTGTTTCTTTATTTGGCATTGGCTTGTTACAGGAAGAATTGCTTTTATATCAAGGCCCCTGTCAAGCTGTGCAGATCAGCTGGGATTCAAACCCAGAGGGAAGCTGGTTTTTCTCAGGCTCTTTGTTATAGACATCTCTGACCGTGGGTGATTTCCTAGCCAGTGCATTGCCACGTGCAGCCTTGCGGGATACGCAGAACAGCCACAAGCGGTCACAAATACCAGAATACTCAGTATATTATGTGATTCTGTGAGGTACACAATCCAATAAACAATCCAGAGACTGCAGTTGCTAGTGTTACCCAACATGTCTCCTAGACCTGTCTCTACAACATGGAAGTTGTAGTTTGTCTCACACAACATCATCAAGGAAGTTTTCAAACACTTAAGTTTCCATGTCACTGCTATGTTGTAGCTTGTAAAACATAGAAATGGAAAGCCATACACACAACCTTCTTCAGACTTGCAGTTCTGTCTCACCAGAAAACAATGATTTCAAGTCTGAACTCCTATGAGATAACTTATTTAGAAACTTTATTAAGCTTATTTTGAAATTTATCAGGAAGGTAACTCATTCCTTCACCTGTGCAGTATAACAAATACAACTCAGTACTCATTTTTCTGAACATCACTGCAAGTTTGAATTTGGCAAGTGTTATGGGCACTTCTGTTTTCTCATACTTACAATTAGAAGGATGATCAGTAAGAAGCAACTCTGGGTTGTTTTTCTCATTGTGGAGTCTTCCTGGAGAGACACGTTGTAGCTGACCCTTCTGGGAATTAAACAACAAGAACAAAAGCAGTATTGGACTTTAGCTGTTATGATAAATTCCTTGTCTTTGCAGAGGAACATCTTTTTAGACGTGCAGTGGACCATCTGTGTGTGTGTGTGCGCACCCCCAGCCTTACATGTGCTCATGTTTTATCTAAGTGGAGGTTGGTACGCTTTTAATTTAGTCTCCTCTGTGGATCTCTGGTGGTGAGTACAGATGATGTGGGGTACAGATCCATGTTACTCTGTCACCAGCAGCAACTCTGGGTTAAGCTATGCATCTTTGCCAGCTGAGGCTACCTCGGTTATCCTGATTCAGGTGCTTCTAACCTACACATAGGGCTGCAGACCTACGAAGAATCTGGATATTTTAAACATGACCTACAAAACCCAGGTCCAGTTTGCTGATAAGCGGAATGGCAGCTCAAAAGGTATATTTTATGGGACTAGAGAAAGAGAGAGGTTGGGTAACCTCTAGCTAGATGAAGCAGGTGTGGCAGGAAAAGAGAGAGAAACTGGGAACAACACCGTGGGATTACACGCTCCCTAATGCAGCCAGTTTGACTGGGCTCCATATAGACACCACAGCAGTGGCCCTCAGGCCGTTGAAAATTACTGCTTCAGCACAAAGTACTGGAGAAGTGGAGCATGGACACGACACCACAGGCTTGAAGGGAACTGGATTGGCAACTTTCGTGCTTTTCTGTCTTTTTCCTAAATCAACACCCACCTGGCCTTTCTGGGAAAAATATCCAGGGGCCACCAGATATAATCATATTGCTTCATAGTTGTAGGAGGTTCAAGCAAGCAAAGACTTTTGCATTAACACATTATTTTAAGTCACAGTTTTTGTTAAAACACGTCATGCCTTCTGATATCCCACAGGCCACTAGTGGTGCTTGGGCTGAACAACAAACAACATGTGGCTGAGATCACCTGTCACAGTAACACAGTGGGCACTCACACATCTTCATTTTTCAGACAGCTGAAAAACTAGGAGTAAGGTGTTTTTTACCTGGGTAAACAATTCTGTGAGCACTCTACACATCTGAAACCCAAAAATTTAATGGGAAAAAGGCGTACCAACTTGGATGTTTAGTCTACTTGACATATAGTGAATGACACAATCACTTGTGTAACATTTTTCTCAGCAACAGCTTTTCTCATCTTTAAATGATTTGGAAGGTCACTCATTTTCAGAGGGCAAAGGAAATATTGTCCTCATCTAACACAGAAATCTGTAATCTCAAAATGTAATAAAGGTGTGGCACTTCCAGTTCAACACAACACAAGTGATCCAATAGGATTGTTGCAGTCGTGTCACTGAGATTACATAAACCACAAAGTGATAGAAAAGAGGGTTCAGAGGTTTTGCTTTTAATAAGAAGCAGCCTTATTACTGTTTGAATCTTGCCAGAACTATTCTGGTGCCAGTGGTAATGTGACATGTAAATGACACAGAAATAATATGCAATTACGCTGTCAGCCACAAACTTGCGTTTGATCATCAATGGTAGACAACTCAATTGAAGCAAAAATTGGACAGCTAAATCAGAGAGCAAAATGCCTGGAATTGTCTGCGTATTCTCCAGGCTATTCACTGCAGCGGGTATTGGTTCAAACTGCCAAAAAAATTAATGAAGAGCATATAAACAATGGCTCTTGGTCAGCTGTGCAGTGAGCAGATGTACAAGCATGAATACAGTGTTCATGGAGTTACTCACTGTACTGCAAAGTCTCTGGAGTGTGGTGTAAAGCCAGTCTGGTGGGTGCCTCTATTCTTGCTAGCCTCATCACCTCTGCTGCATCTACAGGGATTTGGTATAAAGTAGGCAAAAGAAGGACTTTGCCTTACAAACTGTCAACAGCTTTAAAATACAAAATGCTTTCCACAAATGGCACAGATTTTGGTACAATATTGCAACCTAGAAAGCATAAACAAAACCAGTATCAATTGAAGGTGCCTGTGATATGTCTGCTTTTCCTGCACTTTGTGATGGCAGTGCTTGCAGCACTATGTTGGGTTACAGCTGTAGATACAGCTAAATCTTATCCTCATGGGATTTTGTGAACATTTGTTATTATGTACTGAAAGAGCTATTTAAACTGCTTCTTTCTCCTGTCTTTCCAACTAAAATAAAAAGCCATCTGTAGAGTATTTAACACATTATTTTCCCCTCTGTTAACTGTGATGACTGTGCCATATGATACTACATATGAGTAAATGAGTAAGAATTATTTCCCAAGCTAAATCTTATATAGTCTTGTTATTTCTAGTCTTTCTTCTTCTAGCCAACTCTAACCACAGAAATGGCTGACATGCCAGACAAAATCCAGCACCTTTTTTTCTTTCTCTTTCACAGGAGTCTTTTCCAGAGACAATTTCAATAATTGCTGAATGGTAATATTTTAACAATCAAACTATAAAGTCCCTGACAAAGAAGTGGCTTTTCTCTACTTTTGCCATAAGACTGGCCCATAACACTACAGCACACTTGGGTTAGCATCACTACTGGATCAAGGATGATGATCTCATTGACATTGGAAGGTACACGCAGATGCAAAGTGTTGGTCAATAGGCAGGGCAGAAACAAGAGGGAGGAAAAAAGACTCACACAAAGGGGAACCCGAAGAGATGGACCCTGTCAGCTTTGGGACAGAGGAACAGACCAGCGTCTCCATGGCTCTGTCCCCATCTCCAGCAATCCAGGTTCAGGTGTGACATGACGTGCAAACTGCAAAGCAGTACACTCCACGGACCATATTTTGGGGTCTTTTGTGCTAGAACTATCACTTTTTAACACCAACTGACACTAATGCCCATAGGCAGCTGGCTTGCAGCTGAAGGAAGGCTAGAGCAGCCTCATGGAGATCGTAGCTGCACTGGAGCTGTGCCATCAGGAACACAGGGAGAAATCAGAAATGAGTCTGGTCCTTGGTGCCTACTGACACCATGATTCAACCACACAAGAGCTTCCATGACAATACTCGTGGAAAGCATTTTCTCCATACCTTCTTCTGGCTGCTTGGTACCACCTGACTTGTGCTACCTCCACATCCACAGTACAGGGCCACACTATGAAGAGGTCAGGAAATTAGTTTTCAGCTACACAGTTTCTAAATAGAATACATATTTTACCATTAAAGAAGGAGAAACAATATGTCAAGCTGTTTTAAGCATAGGTGTTTTCAAGATGTTTCAAGGTATGCATGAGATTTTCCTGAGATGATGCTTATTACAATAAACAACAGGAATTACTGATAATGTACTGACAGTTCTTGGGATCACTGGAGCTTATATAAGAATGATTATTATGGGGATTTCATACAGTTTACAATGACCCCAAAATTTGTTTCATTTGGTGATGTTCCCAAGCAGGTCTTTTAGGTGCTTTGCTGATTTTCCTGTTCCTATACTATTTAGCCTTTTTCTGTAAGTCCAACAATGTCCTCCCTCCATGTTAAGATAATATAGCATGCTTTATGCATTTCAATTTTATAATATCCATATATAGGGATTAATCATAAGTACATTGCTAAAGCCCAGTACTTTTCCATGATTGTATTAATTCTTCACCCTCTGTTGCTTATAATAGTTACATACAACATCCCTGTCTGTTATTTAAACTAGAACATTGTTCTTTCTTTCTTTGCAAATGTAGCATACCTCATTATGTGCTAAGGTATTCCTCCTGCTTCAGCTATTATAGTAATACCATTGACACTTTGGGATTAGTCCTGAAGCTTATTTGAAGATGAACACAGCATCCTACTTAGTAATGACATCTCTTTTGTCTCTGTCCAGATCTCTACAGATGTAGTATTATGCTGAACAGGGTTTCAATTACAATTACCACTGGGTTACCCAGAAGGTGGGACAACCCTCCCTGCACAGCCATTTGGACAAGGCCAACCAGGGAAGTAAAATTTAGTCAAAAAGGAAGATGTAAGGGGGAAGATTCAAATGAGGGCAGTAGAGCAACATTTCCCTTCCAAGTTCTTTTTGGAGGAAGAACTGGAAAAAACTTCTTCTTTAATTATTCTGCTCTGATAAATCTGCAGTGCCATCTTTCACAATAGTGCTGACATATCGTTGGAAGAACAAATGGTTTTTAAAATGGTGTTTGAAATGAGACTTTGAAGAGTTATTGTTAAGTACTGAAGTGTCATGTAAAAATCTCTTTCTCATTGTGTAGATCACACTCAGGCACTTTGAAACTTCACTTGTGACCTCCTCATTCAGCTGCAAGTTCCTTAGGGGGTTTTATTTCCACCTCATGCAGCTTTCTCAGAGTGAATAGCTGGGTACCCACCTCCAACCCCAAGGTGTCTGTGCCACCTTACCTAGATAAGGCTTGCAGACCCTCCTGGGACGTGCCTTGCCAGTCAGCGCAGAAAGGCACCAACCTGCTCTGCCTGCATTGACACCGGACTGGGAAACACAGGGCAGACACATCTAAGCAAGACACAAGCAAGCCAGCAGATCTTGCTGCTGAGCATTTAAGGTATTTGGATCCAAGGAGGAGGTTGCGAGTCTGTTTGCATAGCCAAATGCACAGATAGTTTTGGGGAAAGTATTAAAATTGGCCTCTCACTCCCAGTGGGACATTTTACCTCGGGTTCCTAATTTTTAGGCTACTGCTTTGGACCAGGAATGAGCTGTACACCACACTTCCAAGGTCCTGTGCAGACCAGCACTGTAGTTGTAGTCCTGTCGGGCAGAGGAAATGCCATGAGTGTAATTCCCACACGTGAGAAGGGAATAGAGTCAGACCCACCTATTTCCTTAGCATTTTCTTTAGCCGTTAACCTGCAATGGGCTTCAGGTGGTTTTAACTGGCACCAGGATCTTCGGGCATTTCCAATGGAAATAGTGAACTCTGCTCAACTCTTTCTAATATACCAGAAAACTGGTGACCATCAGTCCCAGGTAGAGACATGGACCTCCCTACAGCCTCCAGTCAAGCATCCAGGAACACAAGTCAGAAGATATATCTATGT